GGTGGAGATGGGAATGGATACCGCTCACGCAGTTATTTTCCGCAGTAAGTTTAAGAAAAATCATGTATATGTCTATATGATTCAAAGGTTTCAAGTATGTATGTTTAAAAAGTATACGTACATATGTATGTTAAGAAAACCAAGGTTGTAACTAACAACCCTAGTTTTGAGTATTTAAGTTTTAGAACGTTGCAACAGTACATGCGACAAATAAATGAATTTTAAACATGACGATTTAAATGAGTAATTTTAGAAGGACTTTAAGATGTACTTGAATTTAAGATTTCTCACGAAATCCGTTTTAAAGTTAAATGAGATGGCCGATTGAAATGACTAGTTTTAGAAAAGCTTTTAAAGAGTATTTGAAACAAGAGTTCAAATGCTATTCCGTTTGAAGGATATTCCTAAAAGGTTTTATCTTAACTAAAATTAAGAAAAGCTTTAAGAAATTTAGTGATTCACTTATTTGAAATTATTGTTACAAATTATGAAAGTATTCATTCTTATATAAAAAAAAAAAAAATGTTCCGCATATTTTAAGAAACCCCAGTAAGTACAAGTTAAAGTTTAAGTTACAGTGGCGGCCTCATAGGAGGGGCGTCACACGTGTCAAGTCCTTAATTGCACGCAATAATCAAAGCGGATGACTAAATTCACACTTTGCATTAAATTCCATGCATGGACACACAATTTCGATTAATTGATCCCATCTTTTGTCCGACAATCCATGTGCACAAAACATTAGTCACATTAAGTGTTCCATGACAATATATTTCATTGAAGTCATGCGCTTGATAAATTCCAACATCAATTTCTTGCCACTTAATCGTCTCTAACCGTTAGTTCCTCCGTCGTATGAACTAAACGAAGAAGACGGGAATGAGGATGACGATATTGCTAATTTAAGAGATTAAAATATCTATTTTTATTTTTTACTATCAACATTTTTTTGTATTTCTTGATTAATTTACTTTTTAAGACTAATCTTATTATTGTGTTGACTATTGTATATCAATCTTTTATTAATGAATATCAATTTATTGTTTTATTTTATTATTAAATTTTCTTCTAATTTATATATTTAATAATTAATATTATTAAGAAAGTACGGTAAAAAAATAATATTTGCGATGACATATCTAAATTGTCGTCGCAAATAGTCCACATTACTAGCGACGATTTTTGAAGCCTATAGTTGCAAAAGGTTTTAAATACTTTTGCTACGACACGTTGTCGTCGCAAATAAGTTATGACACGTCATCATCAACGACATATTTGAGGGAACATTCGTGACGATTTATTCGCGATAACTATCGTCTCTAATGTATTAGCGATGACATCTCAAAACTATGTCGTCGAAAATATATTATTTACGTCGGGTTTTTTTGGACGACATGTCGTTGCAAATAAAATATTTACGACAACATTATAATTATTTGTGACGATAATCCGTGGTCGCAAATAATTTTTTTTGATGTGGTGAGAACAAAATCAAGATACGCTTGTAAATATATATGCCACGTTTATATATTCATCATTTAATCGTTATATAGTAAAATTATATATAAAAGCAGACAAATTAAAGTATGTGGAATCCACCAAAAAAAGAAAGAGCAAATCGTGTTGGTAAAGTTTTCACTGGATTGGATCAGTACAAGGACCTACCAACTCAGCGAGCTTTCGTTAAGTTTTAAATGTTTTTTTTTTTTTTTTCATTTTCAGATATTATTTTCTTAGTACGATCTAGAAGCAAAATTTTCAAAATCTACTGTGGAAGTATCTTCTCTTTTTCTCGATTGAAACCGGAAGTATGTCTGACTGATACATATTAACCGTGTGCTCTAAAACAAGCGTATATCAATACAGCTCAACCGTGAATTTTAGCAAATTAAAGTCTTACGTTGATCCAATTAACAATAATATACCCCAAAATTTTGGTCTTATTTATATTGTAATGTTTAGTGACTAAACTTTTATTTGTCTTTATAAATTCAATTGAGACCAAAATTATATATTTGTCTCTAATACTAGTGGATTGTCTCTCAAAAGTTATTTTTCCTTCTCCGCTGTCATTATTTTTCTAAGAGTTATGAATATTGCCACATTGAACAATTAATAATTAGTAAATAAACATATCAATAATTAGTTATTATTAGTAACTAGTTAATGATTAGTCAATAAATATGTAACTAGTAATTACTAAATAAAATTGAAAATTAATCATTAATTAATATGTATGCATCTAATACTGAAGGTGTAACTAAAGCAGAATCTTTCAAACATGTCCAATTAATTATTTCCTCTTCCTAATGAGAAGGTAATATAACCAGATTACGGTATTCAGCAAGGGCCCAAATGGGGAAAATATTCCTATACGCTGCAAAGTGTAGCATGCAATTTCTCATGAAAACTCCCATAAGCTCCTGCCATGATCAGCAAGTGTAACCAACAATCAGCAAGACATCAAAATTAATATTGTAACAAATACATACACGTGTTTAAATATAACACACTTTCCTAATTGGATTTGCATTCAATATACATCGTCCTAAAAATGGATATCTAGAAGATGTTTTTGAAAATGCGGAGGTACCGTTTTAATATTATCAAAAATATATGATACTAAGAACATGTTTCACTATAACAGATGATTTTATCCTGTTTGTTAAATTAAGCACATTTTGTTTCACTTATTTTCTTATTTGTTGATTTCATTTTCATTAGTGCACATATCTCCCTTTAATCATTAATTTAGTAATTAGTAATTATTATTTTACTTAAATGTCGTGGATTTTAGCCCCTAATAAAATTAAAACTCTTCTCTAACTATTGTCATTCATGTAACTTGTAATTTCATCATTTTTTAACTAGTGAACTCATTTTTTCCCTTTAAGTTGCTGAAGATCAGTACCTGTTGAGGAAAATCTCCATTTTCCAGTTGAGAATTGATCAGCAGTTTTGCAGCACGATGAATAGGAGTCGAGTCTCTCTCACCCTAATTCAAATTAATCAATACCATTAAAACTAATAGAACTACTGTTATTCATCTCTCTCTATATATGTATATATAATTATACGAATACATATATATGTATAAACACATATTAAACTAATTAACCTGTCCGCCGTGAATTAAACCCATTAATCCTAAAGCTGTCTGCACCAAGTTCGAGTGGTCTCCTTCGGAAGGTGTATACACCTGCCTCATTGCAATACAGGAAAAACGAATATATTCTTGTATGTATATATATAATATAAAAATATATAAATCAGGATCACATCTCTTCTAGAAAATATAAGTTTGGATGAAAACCTTTTAACTACATGAAATATATATTTGTAGATTATAATGAATTTTTGTGACAAAATGATGTACGTAGCTACCTCCCTTAGCTTAAATGTGTGTATACGTATATTATGTATATTCTTAAGGTACTTCCTTTTATTTTGTCCTTTTTTCTTTTTGGCTTAATTTGTTGGTTCTTCATATGATCTCTTCTTTTTGTTTCCTTATTCGAGTCTAGGAAGACTTTGCCTAGGCTTGTTTGAAATTTTCTTTACTAAATTACAGTGATTAATTTAATTCTCAGTAAAAATATCTCTCCATTTTGTTTTGAAAAATAAGAAGGAAAAAGTAGAAGAAGAAATTCACGAGGAGCTAGCAGTTATTCACATACCTTGTTTGTGCATGAAGTGTAGCTTTCTGCCCAACCACCGTCGTCTCTTTGTGTTGTAAGTAAAAAGTCGACGGCTCGACAAACAGCGTCGCAGTTGTGGGAGTACTTGCCAGCTGCATTCAAGCCTCTAATGGCAAACCATGTACTGTAAATGAAGCAAATTCCCCAGTGTCCATACCAAGATCCATCAGGCATTTGTACGTCTTCAAGATATTGAGCAGCTTTGGTGTTGAAATTGTCAATCTCTTTTTTCCTATGGCCTGGATATAGCTTTCTGAACAGGTTCAATGCTTGTATTGATGAGGAAGTACACTCAGGATACCTACGTAGATATGTACGTACATACGTAGATTGTCATTCTTAATTAGTCGGTCAGTCTAAACGTGTTTATTATAAAAATGAGATTATTGATAAGATATCCGAATTAAGTAATTTAAGATGTGAAGACTAGAATACGTACTCATATTCAATGACACAGTCTTCTAGAAATTCCACAGGATTAAGCCACTGAATGAAAAACGTACGTTGTAAATAATATTATGAAGATTTTTCCTCAAAAAGTTAATATTATGGAGATTGAGAGTGAAATGCGTTATGGAAACTGAAAATTTGGAATTTTATTGTTTACCTCCAACCATTTTGGAGCTCCCGTAGGCTCCCAAGCTGATACTCCCCCATTTTTGCTCTGTTTTTTTTATAAATAAATTAAAAAAAAAAAAAAGGATCACAATAGAGTTTTTGTATTAAACAAATGGTATAGTTAATAGCACTATCTAAAAAATAACTTTATAATATGCAACCCAATTTTATTCTTTTTTAATAATTACCTGCAATGAAAGTATGATGTTAATAGAGTCGTACATGTTCTCTGCATCCATTGGCTCACCAACAATGTCTGGCGACATCATTGAAAACATTAGGCAACACTGAAATGGACAAGTAGTTCGATATCAGTACTGAAAATTAATTATCAACGTTTAATTCAAGAAAAAACAAAATCATGTTTGTACGGAGTTAAAATAGCTTCAATCCTGTGGCACCGTGGGTTTGGGCAGAGTAGTATTTTAGAGAGATTGCTGATTCAATCCCGTCTTGTATTAAAAAAAAAAAGAAAAAGAAGAAGAAATTATATCGCGTTAATAAGTACCTTGAGACCTTCAGCAGTGACATCGGAAACTTGCCATCCATGGTCTCGATCGGAGAAAGTCCATGCTCCTTTAGAAATATGACGGAAATGATTCGAGTGGTCTGGAAGATCAACCCTAACTTGAGACAACTTTAAGAATTCATGTGCTTTTTTTAGTACGGGCGCAATTTCCTCATTGATATTTCCAGCAAGGAGAGCTTGAATAGTGAGAATACAATCCCATGCTTGACTACCGAAACTCTACATGATGATGATCGTAGAAATCCAAATTACTATAAGAATCTTATCTGTGAAATCACGAGCAACCCCAGAGAAATATGAACAATTGAATACAAAGATAATGAATTGAAACACCAAGAACAGAGAACAACGTTTCTGGAAAAAACCTCTCAAGCTTTATTCAATTAATGAAATTAGAATACCAAGAAAAACAAATCTCTGTACAGTACATCAACTAGACTTTTTTCTCTCCAGTCCCGAAGCACCCAGAAACTTCTACCTTTTTCTTTCTCTCGGAGCTCTATCTCAAAGAATAGAAAAAACTGCTTTTTAATCTGTTTTAACAAAACGTTGAAACTGTTATAAGTAATAAAGACAAAACTACCCCTATCACATAACCTGTACTAATCCCACCTAAGCTTCTTGACAGTCTAGGGGTGTTCATCGGTTCGGTTTCCGTCGGTTTTAGTCGGTTCGATGGCCGAACCGACCATTTCAGTTTTCTAAAAGTTAGAACCGAAACCGAACTGCACTTAACAGTTTTCGGTTCGGTTAACCAAATTTCGGTTTCGGTTCGGTTTCGGTCGGTTTTCGGTTTTGATAATCAGGAAGATGATCTCAGTTAACCATCAGGTTACCAGCATCTTTAATTGCATTTTTGACCCGCAAGTATGAAAAAATGTAAAACTTTCCTTCAATGCAAAGTTGCAAACACGTAATCACAATAAATGAATACAAAGCACAACATCAAAATTGATAATTGCACAAACACAAGTTTAAAAAACATTTAAATTGTCATAAGTAAAACAAAACGAAAACATTAAAAAAAAAAAAAAATCTCATCTCGGTCGGTTCAGTTTTTAACCGACTCTCTACACGCAAAACCAAAACCGAACCGACTTTTGAGAAAGTCGGTCGGTTAACCGAACCGACTGTGTTCGGTTCCACGTGACACCGTCGTTTTCGGTTTTGAGCGATCGGTTCTTCGGTCGGTTTCGGTTTTATAGTTTTTTTGTACACTCCTACTTGACACCACTCTAAGTGTGCCACCTGGATTTACATTATCTTAATATTAGCTGCAGTCACTAATAAATGTTCTATATCAAATAACATTAAAACGTCTTTACTAACTTGCATAGTAATTCCATCTTCTGCTACCCATAAGTAGTCTGAAACTCTTGGAATATGCTTCTTGAAATATTCTCCATTGGGATCTTCTGCCCAGCAGGCAAGCATCATTAATGGCTGCATCATCAAAGCAATTCGACAATATGCATTATAACTGATCCTTAAAAGAGAAAAAACATATATAGTTGGAAGATCATATATCTTTTATAACTATATATATACACATATAAATACCTTCTCAACGCATCCTATGGTAATATATCGACTATTTTCATCCTCATAATGAATATGTTGTATTGTCTTTTGAATCGCTTTTTCCCTTATCTTGCTAAAAGGCCAAGTATTGATAACTGACTCGCCAATGTAGTGAACACTGTCCCACAAAAGACGCTGTATTCTACCATGGGGATAGTAGTTATCCACCTGCATTTCTTATCATGGTCATCTTCTCATTTCTCAATTATTATTTAAAAAAATATAATAATTATAATAATAATAAATAATAAGGTGTAAATAGAAATTCAAATAGTGACTAAATTAATCTCTCACCGTGGCACAAACGTGACGCATTTTGCTCCACTTGATTTGTTCGTAAGGCTCACTGTAGATTTCTTCTCTCAATTGATGGATGAGAGGTGTGATTGGGCCCACAAACTTCTTCCCATACAAGTATGACATGGGCATGAAAGTCAATCGGGAATAGCAAAACATTTTTGCTGCAAGCAAATAAGAAAGTTTAGTATAAAAATATACTCAAGTGAAACTTAATTAGGATAAAAATATTATAAGAACTTATGTAATTAATGTTTATTGTTTATTACATGGATGAAGAGGAATTATGGAAGGGTAGAACCAAAACTCTGGGGGCATCGGGTTGCATCCATCCCACTCATACACACCAAGTAGCTGTACATGATAGCATTTCATGGAAAAATTAGATCAAAAGTTTTCCATGATAAAAAGCAATGATTATTTACCTTTCTAGAATTTATTATAGATTATAGATTTCTTTTTTAATGATATCGAATTATGCATACCCTCAAGTATTAAGGTATAGGTGAACCATTTTTTTTTTAAAATCACAAATTTTATGCGAAAAAACAAAAAATGGATTGAGGTTTTGAATAAACATACTGCCATCCAGGTTTTTCCCCAAGAGCCAGAGCCAGTCGGCCCGCCATTGTCAAGAATCCACTTTCGAGCTCGAGCAGAGGCGTTGTCGAGGCCGCCATAAGGGCCTTCTCCGAGAATGCGCATGGCGAGGTAGTTGAGAATCGTGCACATCATCATGCTCGGCCCCTCAATGTGCAATCCCCACCCGCCATCTTTGTTCTGATGGCAATACATGTACCACAACATTTCTTTCTTGTGATGTTCATTGAATACTGTGTCCAAATGCCCCGTAATGTACATGCAGAATACCTGAAATATTTTTTGTCGTACTTTGATGAGGAAGTCTAATTACAATAAAGCTAGTATTCAAATTAGTTAAGAAAAAGAAACTCCTAAGTCGGAGATATTTGCATATATGTCATGATCATTATTAGTTTTCAAACAGATATGTTGTTAAACTAAGAGAGTTTAACAGACATTTCTCCGTTTCTTAACTTTTTCTAAATTTATTTCTACATGAGCATAAGAGAGTTTTCCTTGCAAGAACTCTCATTTCTCCCAATCTCAAAGTTTTATATACGAGATATGATCAAGAATCAAGCGAGTAACAGTTGTCGGAATCTTGCCCAAATTTTCACTGCAACAATGTGCAAGTATATTTTTGAATTAAAAAAAAAAACAGTACATATGCACATAACACAATAGATTTAAATATTTTTACGCATCCAGAGCAATATATATATATATATATATATATATACATTTATACGCGTGGATAGAGATAACGTTAATTTGAAAAGATAAAAGTATGAATACCAGCGGAGGGATATAGAACATGATTCCAGCATTTTCAGCAGGCCAGTGGCCGTGGGGCGACTGCAGGGCTGCCCAAAAATTTATGGACCTTCTCATTGCTGCGTCAATTATTTCGTATGTGATTTCCTTGTCGTCCTCAACCTTAACTTGGGGAATTGTTTGTTTGAAGTTTCTCTCTCTTAACATCTACATTTGCTCAAAAAGAAAAAGAAAGGAAAAAATAATAATAATTATTGGAAGAAAAATCGGTTAATAGACAAGTTGTGTCTGGAGAGAAGATACGGTAGTAACTTGTAGATCCAAAACTATATTGTAAATTGTAAAAGAAAATTAATGAAAATTAAATAAATGAATTTTTAATAAACCACTTTTCTTGATATCCTTTCTACAACAGCCATTTTGACTCTTTTTATTCCCGCTCTCAAACAAATCTAATTAAAAACCAAAATTCTGTAGAAACTGCACAGTTCGCGAGAGCACTATTGGTTATTTATTTATTTATTTGTTCTTTTTCACAATCATTGTGATATTAGAAAAAATTGTTAGACCAATTATGCCTGTCCTATAACTGCAATTGCCAGTTGCCACCGACAATATCAGGTCAGGTTACCAGCGGTAACCCATTGATCAATGAAAAATGCTTTTTATTCCGATGGAGATAAATCCCCATATACACAAGAGGTGGCCCCACATGGTGGGACCCACGCGGATCCCACCAGTGGGGCTCACCTTTTGTGTCTGATGGAGATTTAGCGGCCCATTGGGACGCATATGTAGGAATGCTCATTGCGCTAGTGACAGTAACATACAATTCAACTGAGAAATAGCAAGAATCTGTTTGCTTTTGTGTTACCGATGTAGCCTATCCAGTTATTGATGGTAGTCTATTTTTTTCTTTGACGGACCATGCAGATGACTCGTGATTGGCTTTTGTCAGGTGAATGACATTCAACAATTGGGGTGCCTCCAGGAACCAACGTGCCCAAATAAGCAGTACGTAGTCACCGAGGTTGGATAATGATGGACATAATTTCTTTTAATTATGGTGAATTAAGTAAGCAATTGATAATCAGATTATGTGAGGGCTGATTAATTTCTTGGCCATTTTGTGTATGGTGATCAATAAATTTGCATGTACGTACCTACTATTTTCAGCTTAAAGACGTACGGAAACATGGAGTGAGAGAATTACGTAAGGGGACACACATATATATTTTGAGGAACTGATAACATCTACACTGAGAGCCAAGTATTTGATTTAAGTTTTTAATTTGAAATAGCATTATCATAAGTTCTACTTCTTTAAAACTGAAATACTAAACTTATTTCCATATAATTTTCCACAATCAAAATATTAGTAATCTTTATTCTCCAGAAGGTTCTTTTTTTTTTTTCCTTCTTCTTTCTTTTGAATGTTTGTTACCGTAATCCTATAGTTATTATATTTGATAATCTAAATTTGAACATACACAAAAGAGCCAATTAAAGAGGGTGTGATGACTAAGCGTTTTACTCACAAATCTAATGTTTTCAAGCTTAATTATTTGTTTAATTCTCAAGCATTGTTTTCATTTTGATGTGTTTTTGTGCATTTTGTAAAAAACAAAAAATAGAAAAAATTAGACTTAGTGGCAATTTGGATCAAAATTTGGAGGAAACCAATCAAAAAGGGGCACAAAGGCCCCTTCCTAGCAGCAAGCGGCGCGTGCGCGCAACATAATGGCACGGACGCACCATCAAGAGGGCCACGCCTCCTCTCCCAGCTGATTGAAGTGTGGGCCATTTTTGGCCCTTGATCTGATTTGGAGGGCCGAGATTGCTCCTTTGGAGGTGATGTGAGAGACTACTAAACCACAAAAATCCTAATTTTGAGAGGCACGCTTATTAAGAGAGATTGGAGGCACAAACATCAAGGAGAAGAGAGAGCTTGGAGGCTGAAATTTGGAAGATTTTTCTTAGAAATATATTGGAAGATTCTTGAAGATTGAAGCTTTGAAGATCACTCTACTATAGTTTCCTCTTAATCTCTACTATTTTTATTTTGATTTTCATTTAAAAATTGTAATTGTGATATTGTGACAAATGTTGTGATTATGTGAGGGCTGATTAATTGCGTACGTACTATTTTAAGCTCAAAGACGTACGGAAACATGGAGTGAGAGAAATTGTGTAAGGGCACAATTATAAGGATTCTATTCGGAAGGATTAATGAAAGGATCAATATGAGAACATACTTAAGAGCCCGTTTAGTTCGCTGATTTGAGTTTTTAATTCAAGTTGATATGTGACTTTATGTGAGAGCTTTTTACTGTAGTAAAAAGTTAGATGTGACTGTTTCTGAGAGTTTTTTACTGTAGTAAAATTCAAATTCTAAACTCGAATCGGTGAAATAAATGGAAACTTAATATGTGGAGGCTTCAGGCTTCTTATTCTTTAACGCATACACATATATAGACACATGCATACATATATATGCATGTAACAAAGAAATGACTGTGTGTGATGGAAAGACATTTGTACTTTGAAACACATATATTGTGCATACCTGGAGACGCCATATATGGTCACTACAAGGTTTAACCTTGTAGCGGTTTCTGTAGAAATTCTGGCGAGCCTCTTCCACTTCGGCTACCGCTTCAGGAGTTCCGGCGTTCGGGTCGAACTCGAATATCTGTCTTCCCAAGAAGTTGTTTGTGCTGAATAGGTGTGGGTCTTCTGCCCCTGTTCCATACTTAATCTTCCACATTTCTTCTTCACTTTTGAGGTAATCTTGCAGCCCTTGCCACGGCCAGTAATATTCAGTTTCTTCTTTTATTTTAAAAATAAATAAATAAATAAAAGTTTATTCGCATCATGTTATTATAATTATTTTTTTTTAATAATGCTACACATGCATCCACATATAAAGTTCCACAATCCTAACTAAAATTAGAAATTCTTTGTGTTTAAGTAGTTAATAAAATAATTCGAAATGATCCTCTTATGGTTATTTCTTCTAATCCAAAAAGGGTAAATTTAACATGATCAATAATATGATATTTTGTGTGAGGGGATTATATACCTGCAGTTTGATATGGTATTGGTGATTATCGGAGAAAGTCTCTCCAATTGGATATGAAAGCTTTGCCTCGCCGAGTTCAGTTGTGATGACTGAAAACAAGGAAAGCTTAACCAAAAAAAAAAAAAAAAAAAGTAGTTAAGACCTTGCTTTGTAGAGGAAAGAAAAACAAGTGTGATCATTTCATTCCCCGAATTAGTAGAAAAGTTTCTTGCTGTTATCACTTTTTATAATAGGTAGAGATGACACCCAATATTTGAAAAATTAATTTTCTCTTCTTTTTTTTTTTTTGTGTTTATAATTATTTTGTCTGTCTCATTTTATAGTTAACGTGTAACGTGTCGACCACGTCAAATGATATTCCAACTTCCTTTCTTCTACGAAAGCCACTCCAAATAAATTATCAGGTCTTAAACATTGATAAAATTGTGAGCTAAAATAATGTTGGTAATTTCATATTATCATAGACAAATGTTTTCTCGTGTTGACATATCTGCATGGCTAGTATAAGTAGTAATCCAACGCGTACTTGTTTTAAACTAATTTATTCGCTAATAGTTTTGACTTAATTTCGTTTTTCCATGTTTGTATTTGACGGTTAGTAATTTTCAATTATCATTAGAAGTCAAATATTCAATTTAAAATTTATCATCTCTGCGAATAACTCGCACAATTAACAAAAAGACGATTTCACCCAAAAAAAAAAGTCAACATATTGATCATATGTAGCCGCGTGGCAGTCTGTGTAAAGCCACAATGTTTTATTTTATTTTGGACATAAGAAATAAATTAATCAAATCAAAAGTCGACAGTCTCATATTATTAATCATAGGAAATTAAAATTATAAGCATATCTCATCCTTGTCAATATCATTGAAACTGGTATGCGTTGTTAAAATAGATATATTGCTCCGTCTATATGTATGTATAATACACTATACTTATTCCCTATATTATTTTAAGAATTTTTAGCATGATCAATATTCTCTGTTAAAGTGGAGTAGGTATAAGTATTCTAACCTCATATCAATATTTTCAACTGGTAAGTATAAGTATTCTAACCTCATATCAATATTTTCAACTGGTAAGTATAAGTATTCTAACCTCATATCAATATTTTCAACTGGTAAGTATAAGTATTCTAACCTCATATCAATATTTTCAATTGGTTAAGCTGCGCTGTACTAAATTACTAATTGACTAATTAACTAACCCCAAATACTGAAATTCGTAATGAACAAGAGAAAGAATATACTAAATTACTAAGTAATACTATCTGTGTATTACCCAAACCTTTTGAGTTAATAAGTTTATATTTCGAACTAAGATATGATAATGGCCAAATCATTGAAGAACAAGAGATTCTAAGATAGGGACTACATAAAAGATGTTCTGATAACACAACACTAATGTTATACAAGGGGGTCTTAAATGTTAAAGAAAAGTATTTTGAAGGTGAAAATTAATAAATGGTTTACTTACTAAGCTGTTACTCATATAATTCTTATGATGCAGGTAAGCTTGATAATTGAAGTTCTAGTTGACTTAGAAAGAATAGTCTAAGGTCTCATGACTAGTTTGGAGATATTAAGATTTGAAATTTGTAGTCCTAAGAATTTGTTTGAGGATTGTTTCTGTAGTAGACATTATTTTTCCATCATGCAGTATTATTTTATTTTTAGTTAACATTTCTCTCAAGTTAGTTGAGTTTTTACTTGCTAGCTTGGGAGTGACATTGCAACCTGTTTGTTCATTATTAATTATTTAATAATTAATAATGAATTTACCATATAATTGATGATTAGTAATTAGTAATTAATTATTTAATATAAAATTGTTAATAAGTATTAGAAAATGAAAATGAAAAAGGGAAAACATTCACACTGTTTTTTATTTTCGTTTAAGAGGATTTGTTAACGGAACTCAATTTAAACATCATTTTATTTTTCTTGCCTCCAAAGACCTGTGAAATTGTTTCAATAACAGTAAAAAAAAAAAAAAAAAAAAA